GAGAGAGAGAGAGAGAGAGAGAGAGAGAGAGAGAGAGAGAGACAAACAAAAAGCTTCCACTCTCGGATCCATTCCATTACGAACTGTGCACCGAAGACTATCATGTCCACGACTATCGGATCCATTCCATTACGAACTGTGCACCGAACACTATCATGTCCACGACTATCGGATCCATTCCACTTTGGTATGTGTGTGTGTGTGTGTGTCTGTATGTGTGTGTGTGTGCGAGAGAGAGAGAGAGAGAGAGAGAGAGAGAGAGAGAGAGAGAGAGAGAGAGAGAGAGAACTGTACACCCACAAAAAATCTTCCGTTCCATTTTAAGTGTTCAACGAACACTGTCATGTCCACGAGTGGACAAAAAAAAAAAAACAGTAATCCAAGAAAATGACAGCTTTGACGGCAACTGATGAGCTAGCACGTTGATGCACAATCCGTAGCTGTCTTCTCACACACTCAAGTCGATTCCTGACAGCGGACTACAGCTAATGTATTCACACATCTCCTGATGTTCCCACATCGTCGACAGGCGTGGAGTTAGCCATGTCTCCTTTGTCGACATTGACGAGACTCTGACACGGATTGGACTCCACATCGAAGACACGTTTTTCACAAGTTTCACTATTTCGCCGACGAATACAGGACTCACAGGAGCATAAGTACGTCGTCATCGATCTGTCTAAGTCAGCTGCCACATCCACTAGTTCAGTGGAGGGCTGCGATGCTCTGAGTTCAATGATGAGTGCCTCCTCGGCCAACCGTCTCTCTTGCTCCAACATTTCATCTCTGATTTCGTAGTAAAGCTTCTCCATCTCTTTCCACCGCCAAATGGCATCATCACGCTCAGCCAATGCCTGGCGATATTGTGTTTCGCCTTCCGCGATCATGCGGCACAACTCACTAAGCAAAGTGGCGGCATGATTCGTTGTATGTAGCAAGCGTCGCTCTACTTTCGCAGCCCAGTTCCTGGGGCTAACAGATCCCTGCTTGACTCGTGTCGTGCGTAGGACGTTGCCCTCGTCCATGCAGACGAGCAAGCTATCTCCTCGTCGGATCAAGTGTTTATGGAGAGCATGAAGCTCGCAGGCCCTGTTGTCCAAACTCACCAACAGCATGTGCGGCCCGTCTTCGTATTCAATGTCAATTATGTCCTCATACAAAAGCAGGGGATCGGTGATGCGGCTGCTCCTACGGACGGGTTTCTTTCCACGTGTATTCCTGTCTCTCGCCATCTCTCTCTCTCTCTCTCTCTCTCTCTCTCTCTCTCTCTCTCTCTCTCTCTCTCTCTCTCTCTCTCTCTATGTACCGCATTTACCTATGCTACAG